AATCTCTAGATGATTCTCAGTGCCTTGCAAAATCTAATACCAATCATGTAATCAAAGAGTTACCGCTGCCAACTTCCGTTCCCCACGAAGAAACAAGCAATTTGTAATCCTGCATATCTCAGTATATCAGCAATAAGTCAATGACGCCTTAACTACGTGGTATGCCACAACAGCCATTGCACTGCATCTAAGGCAACTCATAAGTTTGAACTAAGACAAAGCTTTTTTGTTGCAATAACAGAAGATGTCATAGGATAGAATAATACAAAAGAGTACCTGTACAATGGACTGTGCACAATGCTTCCATGAAAGAACAGCACCTTCCATTGGGGCCAAACACTTTTGCTTTGTGTGGTCACCTGCTAGATAGAACCCCTCTACGGAAGATCTTTGCAAAGGAGGGCATGGTTCACAATTTGGAGTGGTTTTGTATACGACCTAACAAAATTTAGGAGTTATGTCGAGTAACTGAACTAGAAATATAATAAAAGTTAAGGCTTGGTGCTGTTCAATTAGGATCATTTATAATATTTATACAAATGCACATCTACAAACAGAAAATAACGAGTTATTGCCACAATTACAATGTTTATGCACTACCATGAGTATATAGACAAAAAACTCTAACCATCCAGCAGCATTATAATTTAATTAAATGCATTTAACATATTCTGAATAACTTAACATTTTAGTTTTGATTGTAACCTTGGTGTCTTAACAACGTGATACTTTAAGATTTTTGCTTTGCTCTGATCTGCTGAGATTTCATCCGGAAAAAGTTTAGCAAGTTCCTTCATCGTAGCATCAATAATTTCGGAGCCGCTTCTTGAAATCCATTCTTCTGCAGGGGCAAAAACCAACTCCAACATGGATTGGTTTGGGTTATAGTATTCCTGCATAAAACATTAGAACATTAAGTAAGAGGAAAAATAGATGAAAAGGCCTTGTTAATCACAAAAAATGTTATGTTGTTTTGTTTTTACTTGCAAGTAAAAAGGAAGAAATTCATATCAAAATTGCATAATTTTGTTAGGAAGGAGTAGAAATATTTAACTTGTGTTCAAGTGCATAGTGCTATCTTAATAATTGAACATCACAAAAAACATTTTGGGCTAATCAATAATCATACGCAAGTAGTTGCAAACATCCATCATGCAGAGAAATATCAGCAACCTGTTGGCTTAAAGAAACATAAGTTGAGGTAGAACAAAGAAATAGATAGCCATCAATGACAATGTTTACCTTACAAGTCACAGGCATGTCAGCATACAAACTTAGAAGGGGACTTGTGCAAGAAAAAAAGGAAGAGGATTAATAAGAAATTGGGGCAATAATTAGGGGAACAAGTTCTATCCAAATTAAATAGTGCAAATGTGAATTTTCAGTCCAATAACTGTGCCAGAAAAAAGGTGTTGTCAATTTAACACCAAAATCATTGTAAAGATGGGATTATTTCAGTTTCTGAATATATGGAAATGCTTAACCAGAATTTCATTAACATAACTTGCGGTGACATTCGAATTTGATTATATTAAATTATTAACAGATGAGAAATTAGTGTGCTTAGCTATTGCAGAGTTTGAAGTATGACCTAAACCCCAAAATTAATGTTTCCAGAAAGGTCTACCATCTAGTTGGTTTTTAATTAAATTAAGTTCTATTGACAAAAAATGTTAACGGGAAATAAAGATTCACAGTACGTCTAGCAAAGTACAACCTGCTGAAGAGTAAGTGATCATATGTGTTCTTTAGTTTTCTGTCAAACCTGCATATGAAGATAATCTGCATCAGTCATGAGTCAACCACTGGAATCACATCTGAATCATCAGCAGCAAGTATTTAACCAATCAGAAGTACAATCTCGAACCAAATAACCAACCAATAGATGTCATGATATATTTGCTGATATGACAAAATAAAAGAAGAATAAAAAGGAAGAACAACGGAGAAAACAGAGGAATAGATTGCAAAACCATGGAAAAATAATAGAGGAAAGTCAATTCTTCATAACTCTTCGAACCTATCTTAGCATTTATATATAACCAAAACCCTGATTCCAACATCAGCACTCTCTGACAAAATTACATAATTACTTCTAATTAGTTCTAATAGAAATAGAAAATTAAAAATAACTGGATAAACTAAATAACATAATCCAATAATAGATCCTACAATTATATTAAAATTGCAAGTAACCCAAAAAATCAAAATTCCTAAATAATCCCATCTAGCATACTAATTTCTAGAATGATTTCCCATGACCTCAATATCTTGCCAATTCTCCAAACAGGGGATGTGAGGTGACAGTAAATGACCCATTAGAGTCCCAATATGCAGCTAATATTCTCTCCTTTACGTAAACATGGAGTCATAATGTAAATGCCAAGCATTACCTATCATCAACGTTCACTCACGGGTTGTGTGCATGTGTAACTTAGTTTCTGCATTATAATCTGGACATAAGGCTCAACATTTTCACACATGCTCTTCCATACGTCACACAAGCATTCACATTTTGAAGACAGTCTCAAGAGTGGAATTGCAGTTGGACAGATATGAAGGATATAATATACTGTTAGTCAATAGCAATGATGTTAAAACACTTAAGTGCAAAATAGATGCAAAAAAGTTCCATTAAACACAAGAAGGGTGAGGGGAGGGGGAAGGAGGTAGAGGGACAGAGACACGCACAGAGAGAGAATTACAACCAACCATATGTGAGTATTAATGGCTGAAATAAAAATAAAAGATAATAAATAGATCTAAAAGTATTTAAGAATAGTAGATAAAACAGAAAATAATACAAAAGCTACTAAATTGTTTATTAAATTAAACCAGATTGCTATAGGTGAACATTGAATAGAATACATCTGTTACTTGTAAATATTTTATTTGTTTGGGTAAGTATCATACTCGAATTGTAGAAAATATGAATAAGTAATGGATATAAAAATAATATAACTATAAATATTAAATTAAATAATAAATATAGGAGTTCAAAATTGTTTATTTGGCTTGTTTAGCTGACTTATTTAACTTATTTGTTACTTACTTGTGTAATTAAAATTTTACATCTATTTGTTCTCCTTAATATCTTTTAATAATAATATTTTTTTAAAATAAAAATTAAGTAAGGCTTATTACCCAACAAATCATATACATAACAATAACAATTCATATAAATAATAAAAAAAAAGGTAAATACATAACACACATAACAATAGAATTTTATATTAGATTTTTTTTCTTTTTCTAAATATATAAATATATACATAAGTTATCCGGTATTTGTTAAGTTAAATACCAAATATAAAATTTTGAATACTTAGGTAAGTATCAAATTTAAAAAACTACACCTAAAAATTTTTAAATCAAATACTAAATTTAACTCATATACAACCTTTATGTAAAAATGCTCATCCTAGGAATTGCATTGGGAAATCAGATTCATTAACAACAAATTGGCCCATTTGGTCTGTTAGACTAGAATTAATAACATTTGTTTTCATATTAATTAGTCCATATTGAAAATTTTCAATTTTCAGGTTGAAACTCGTGTAGAAATACATTTTCTTCGGGAAAAAATTTTAATCAACCTATCAGAAAAAAAGAAAAAAGAAAAAGGGGACACAATCACATTCCTACTCGCATGGATGCTTCTTTAAAGATGAAGGGATCAAAGGTCCCTGTCAGTTTCTACCAAAAAAAAAAAAAAAAAAGGTCCCTGTCAGTAAGACGGCCATTTGATATCACTGTCCCCAAAAAGGCAACCTCATAGAGTCATAGGTGAACTCAATTGGCTCACGCCTTCCTTAATAGGCATTTGACACGGTGTTCGGATCCCATTTAATAGAAGTTGGATACATTTTTCATACATTTTCGAGTTCTTGACAGCATTAGCATTAAGCATGGCACTGCAAAGGAACAACCTCAAATCGCACAAACCATGTAACCCGGCACGTCAGACTCCCCATTTCCAAATTGTATGGATGACCTCAGCTTCATGTGCCACACATTTTTGTTTCCTCATACTTATGAACAAGAACATAAAACTTCAAATGGTTAAACACATAATGCACATCCTGAACCTTAAGCCCAATTAACTGTATACCCGTTCCGGCTCAGCACATAGTCCTCCTTCTTAGTATAACGAGTTGCAGGCAAATTGTCAAGATTCAAATTAACCTAATACATGATCTTATCAATTCTCTTCTTCAAGAGCTTAATTAAAGTTATCAGGAGATAAGGGAGCAGACTGGCAAAGGAAGATGTTCGCAATCTTCTTTGTGCAGTCTTCGTTGTTTTGCTATGGCAGTTTCTTCGATTACCTCCTCCCATGGATACGTTAACCCACATAGAAAAGCAGTCTGCTCCGTGACCATTTCGGAGAAGAAAGGAACTCTTCTGTTCTGCTCCATTTCTCCGGTCAATCTGGAACGTAGATGATTAGGCAGGCCACCTTGTGATGACGTGGATAGTGCAGAATGCGAATGCTCAATGATCACCATCTCCTATATTGGGCTTCATTTTTGATGTCCCAATTCAGTGTGGCCACTTGAGGGTCTCTAATCTCAATTCGTAAAGTTCCAGTGGTCCACGACTTATTGCAGGCGCCCACTTAAAACTTTAGTTTCTCTTTTTGAAGTACAAGTTATATATATATATATATATATATATATGTGAAAAACTATCTTACAGTCCGCCTGTAAGATCAGGACCATCAAATGAGGTGGATATCTGATATTGAACTCACTTTCCCCTCCTTTTTATGGTTCTGATCTTACCGTCCGCCACAAGGCGGACTATAAGTCAGCAACCTCATATATATATATATATATATATATATATATTTCGAACAAATTTACAAGGTTTAAATTCAAACTGTTATCTGGGGAGGGAGATACACTTTAAACGTAACTAAACGTTACTGAACCCGAAGGCCCAAGTGCGATAATACAAGTTATATTTATTTAACATGTAGTAGTAATATATATATTTTTTAGTATATTTGTTTGAGTTATAAAATCTCTTTTCTCAAATCTCTTTCATTTAATTCAAGATTCAAATTTAAAGTTTTTAATTTAAAATCTTAAGTTTTTAACTAATTAAGTAATCTATTGAGAGTAACATGTACTAATACATATTAACTAATCTAACATATGTACTATACATTTATAGTACAATTAAACCATTAACGTTATTAGTTTTTAAAAATTATTTAGAACTAGCAAAGAGCTAAATAAACTTGAACACATTAAAATTGGATCTTAAAACTCAATTTTGAGAACTTACGCCTCAACAAAAGTCTTATTCAAAATCTGGACTTTGGAGCCAAAGCTATTGGCCCCCTTTTATTTTATTTTATTTTTTTTAAAACAAATTTGTAAGGAGACGGATT